GAATGGAAAGATCTCCAAATCAATTAACAGGGAGGAATATCAACAAGGACAGAAGATGCGTATAGTACGCTCCCAGAAGGAAGAACCACCATGCAGGACCACGGACATGGAAGGCTGACCGAGCTAGGCCATTTAATATAAGGGACTGGAGCATCTGCAGATTTTGGTACCCCGAGGATCCTGGAGCCAACCCTCAAGAGCTAACTGTATATGTAACACGTCTGGAAGGACATGTAAGAAACTGCTGGACAAGTGTTGCCTTTCTGGAAGGGCCTGGAGGCCCCAAGGTCTGAAGGAGAGGGGCATATCTCAGTGCTTTTTTGACTTGTTGGAATTTCTTTTTCATTGTGTTCATGTTAACTTTTTAGATATAAAAACTAGCTAAAATTTCCTGATTGGATAACAGGCTCTCCGGAGGTTGGGATGTTGTATTTCTCTACCCTTGGTAGCTGAAAAAGTGTCTGTGTGTTAGTCGCTCAGTCATGTCCAGGTCTTTGCAAGTCTAGGACTGCAGCCTGCCAGGCTCCTCTGTCCATGGAATTCTCCAGGCAAGAATGCTGTAGTGGGTTGCCATGCCCACCTCCATGGGATCTTCTTGATCCAGGGATTGAACCCAGGTCTCCTGCATTGCAGGCTGATTCTTTACCTCTGAGCCACCAGGGAAGCTTTCTCTGGTAGCTGGAAGCAGAGACAAAACTGCTGCTCTAATACTGCCCAGCAGTGGGAGGCCTGTGTCTCTGAAAGTGGAGGTCAGCATGTGCACAAGCCTATCAGAGAAGCTCCTGGAAGGCATGCCCAGGGCAGGGAAGTGAGAACCTGAATCCTGGGTCAGGATACCACGGGAAATAAAGCAAGTATCTATCTATCTGGGCAAAAGGATTTCAGCCATAAATGATAAGCTTTCTGTTGAAGAATATAAAAACCCATCCCATGACTTGGAAGATTTATCTTGATGAAATTTTTTTTGAATGTGAAAAAATGCTTCATTGGTGGAAAGAAAACACGGCTTTTAAGATGATATTGGACCAAGGGAGAGAGTACCCTAGGAGTTCTGAGCTAAGAATAGGACTGCCAGGTGTAGTTTTTAACCAGACAATCCAGTGTTTGGTCTTTATTTCCAGAAACAAGAATGTGCCATCAAGGGTCCTACCTGAGAATGTCTGTATTCTTTTTGAGAACTGGACTCTGTGCCACTGTGCTGACTCCCTGCAGAGCAACAGCTTCATTATCCATAATTTTTGTGCATTAGCGATGGTAGGGAGGAGACTTCACCTGCCAGGGAGATGCCCTGCTCACTGGCTTTGCCAGAGGAGGCCCTAAGGAAGTTCTCAGCTCAGAGGGACAGGGAAGGATCCCAATTCCAGGATCCAACAAGGAACCCTGGAATGCATAGGATCCTTGTGGAGTCCTAAGTGCTTGGCAGAACAGTTCAGAGAGCAACACATATGGTCAAGATATGTGTTCAGCTCACCTTGGGCCCATATGTCTGATATGTGCTGAGAGAAATCAAGGGTCTTGGGTTGAACCTCTTAACAAAATGGAAGAGGCAAAATATCAATGGGGAAAATCTTTCAGAGTTTTTCAGCAAATGGCTGAGACCCAGATGGGGGCAGGGAATGCGCCATGTAACAGGCTTTAAGCTGAGACACCATGGGGCTGCACCTGGCCCAAGCAAGTGAAGGGTCAGTGGGCTAAGGGTTGACATGACTCTGGGGAAAGGCCCTCCTGACAGATGCTCTAGTCCAGCCCCTCCCTGATGGAAACTGAGGCTCAGAGACTGGGCTTACTTATTCAGTATCTGACATCAGGACTGAGCTTGGTCCATGACTCAGACTCTAGCCTCCTGAACCAGTGGTTCTCCTGGAAGTGGAGGCAGAGGTGAAATTCTTGACCAAACACTTACAGAGTGTGTTTCTACTGAATTCCATGGAAAGGGAGCCACTCAAGTACCCTGGAGTGAGGGCAGCCCTCTGAAAGAGTCATAATACCAGACCCTGGTTTATCACCTACCCAAGGGCTCCCAGTCTTTTTTTTTTCTCCTGCCAGACTCATATTTCATATTAGGTGGATATCGCTTGATTTCAGGAAACATAGGCCAATTTCCCAAGCCTAAAAGATGTATCCTAATTGGTCTCGTGTATTCCAGTTCCCCTTTGTCAGTAATTGGTCTCAATGTGGGCAGATGATTTCGTTCTGGCCGACAAGACATAAAAGGAGGACTGTAGGGGCTTTCTGAGAAAACTTTTGCTTTCCTACCAAAAGGGGAAAATGCAGTATGCACTACCATCCCCCATCCCGTACACCTGCCTTCAATGCAGGTGTATATAGTGTGAGGCAAGCATGACAGTAAAGCCACAGTATCCTTAGGATGGCAGAGTGGATGGTCAAGCCTGAGTCTTTGGTGGCCCAAGTGAGCTGCTGGTCCTGTGCCAGTAACTGTCTAGCTCCAGACTTCTTGTTAAGTAGACATAAAATGCCCTTAATAGGATGGCATCATCAACTCAAGGGACATGAGTTTGAACAAACTCCAGGAGATGGTAAAGGACAGGCAAGCCTGGGACACTGCAGTCCACGGGGTCACAAAGAGTTGGCCACGACTGAGCGACAAATGCCGCCCTTAGAATTTAAGTCACTGCTAGCTAGGTTTCCTCTTACTTGCAGCTGAAAGCAATCCAGATCGACGCTGGCCACAAGTGTTAGTGCAACTCCAAGAGAAGCTGTTTAGAAACAGCCTTTGGTCAGCCTCCTCAACCTTGGAATCTGCTCTCCTGAAGCACCACCCAGCTTTATCACTCTTCAATCAGATGGCATCTCCCCATGCTTTCCCCCATGCCACCACATCCTCCCCCATCAGCTCGGCCAGTCTTACTCATCCTTCACTGCCCACTTGGATGACCTTCACTGACCTTGCTCACTTACCACCAGGAGTGCATCTAATTGACCATACTGATCATTTATTTACTAATCACACTTGTGGTGGCCTGCTGTAGTGCCGGCACTGGGCCCAGCAGGCTGTGCAAGTCCTCAGAGCCCTCACTGGGGGGGCAGAGGGGGTGGGGTGGGCAGACATGTCAGCAGCAGCAATGTAGGGAGTAGTGATAAAGGGGTGGTGCGGTTTCACCCTGGTGGGAGAGCAGGTGGCCCATTTCCATGCTGCTCTCTCCAACCAAAAGCTTTGTTTCTTCGGGCAAAGACCACCCCTGTCTGTTCCAGGACAGCCCTGAGCCCATCTCAGAGGAGGCAGCAGCAAGGGGCTCTTGTGGATGATCCCTGAGCAGGCAGGGCCTTGGGTAGACCTGCTCTTGGTCACCCACCTTTCCCTACAGGCCCTACAAGGCCAAGGCCCTTAATGGCTAGAGGAAGCAGCAGTGGACATGGCGGTGGCAGGTCTGAATCAGAACCTCAGCTGCCACTAACTGGATGTGTGACTACTGGACATGATGTGGCCTCTCTGAGCCCCAGTACTAATGAAGGACAGAGGAGGTTAATAACACCTGCCTATCTCACAGGCTGCAGCAAAGATTGAATGAGATCATTAGCAGGGCACGGGGAGGCCTGGCACACGGGAAGTTGGCAATGTGTAAGTGTTCATTCATCCACCTGCCTCTCCCCACCCCACCGTCCTGCACACAGCAGAAAGCCAGAGACAGCCGGGTGCACCTTCCATGGGAGACAGGACGGTCAGGAATCACCCCACCCCAAGGAACCAGGTGGTATAAGCTTGGTCCTCGAGGAGAGAGAATGGGGGTCCTCAGATTCCCAGACTTTCTCCTGCTCTGAGAAATAACATCAGTGGCGGAGCACAGGAAGGAAAGAAAATTGGGTTGGTGGGCAGGAGGACAGGACTCTCCCACGCTTCTCTCCCCAAGGTTCTGAGGGTTCCCAGGCTACTCTGGAGTCTTGTTCCCGCAACTTCAGGTGGATGCACGCATGGGCAGGGGCTATCTGCTCGGGCACCACTGGGTGCTGCTGGTTCTCAGTGATGCTCTGCCAGTACCAGGCTTGGCTGTCAAGGCCAATCAGCAAAGGGAGCTTTCCCCAGAGAAGCCCAAACTCTGGCCTGACAGACTCTGAAGGAAGCCTGCTCTTGGCAGTTAGCAGCTGTCCATCCCCCTGCACCTGCAGGTGAGGGCGGACCTCGGTCTCCAGCTATGGGCCCAGAGGAGCCCATGTGTAGTGTGACCACTGCCCATATGTAGTGTGACCCCAGCTGTCATGGAGCAGGAAAGCATCTTCTGGGAGAGCCAAACTAACCTGCTGGTGAGGATCCCAATAAATGTCAGCCAGACCACAAAGGGGTCTGAGGAGGTGTCCTGCAGAGCTGGGGAGGGGCTCTAAATCGTCAGTTACAATCGAGCAGATTACAAGTGGGGTGCAGCAGGTGGTGTCATCCGGAAGTTAGCAACTCAAGTTCCTCATCCTTGAGTATGGTGGTGGCACCATACTCCCAGTGGTCCCAGGAGGCTCTCGTTCCCACTCTCACTCTAGCAGTGGGGAGCTGCCCAGGACCTGACACTCCGTCCCTGGGCTATGGACTGACCCCTGCTAGTGCCAGGAGGGATCCAAGGCAGCCTAAGGACAGCTGGGAGAGGCACAGGGCCTGGAAGGTTGTTTTCTCACCTCCCAAGCTGGGATCTGATTCCCATGTGGATGACAAATGAATCCCAGAGCCCAGCCCCGGGGGGCCAGCTCGAGGCTGAGTGGGAACGGGACCTTGACCATCCCAGAGGTGATGGCAGGCCCCCAGCAAAGCTGGACGCCAGCAGACTCACAGCAGGCTCCCTTCACTTCGGAGCCTGCCCTCTCAAAGCCCATCCCTAGCTGAGACCCCAGGCCTGGAGGAAGAGTTGGCCTGTTGGCTGGGTCTCCATAGGGTGCGGGCATCATGGGGTCACTTTGGGACATGAACCCCAAAGCTCTGTGGCAAGTCATACTGGAAGGTTCAAGAGTCCTTGGGAGGGTGGGAGCCGTGGTCATGGTCTTGCAACTCTTCCAGAATCTCAGTGTGCTGTCACATTAGCCCAGGTAGGGAATTGGTCCAAGTCAAATATGACCCGTCCCCAGGTGTTGATGGCCAAAAATGAACAGGTGATTCCAATGACGTTCATTATTAGTCCTGTTTTCATCTGGAAAAGAACAGGGTCAAAGTTAGCACCCTTGGGTCTGCCAGGCTGTCAGAACAAAGGTGAGTGGGACACGGGGATCCATGCTCTGGAGAAGGGAACCAAAGCTGTTGGTTGGGCTTCCCATCCCCAGGCCAGACTCTGTCCTCACCCCACCCCCAGGCAGCGTAACTTCACGTCCAGTGCACCCAGTACAAGTCATCACTGCTCAAAGCAGCCGGGGAAACAGGCAGGACAGGCAGACTCTTCAGGCCCACTGGGACGCCTGGAAAACTGGGCCTCAGGGAGGCAAGCGAGTTACTGAAGAGCCTGGTCTGACTCCAGGTCCAGGGCTCACCCCAGCGCCTTCGCCCTCCCACAGACACACACCGGCCTTTCCAGAGCCTGAGCTGCCTTCTTTGCGTGGTCACTAACCACTGCCCTCAAACCGTGTGGCAGATTTTTCACTGGGGATCAGAATTGAGCCCGCAGTCCCTGGGTTCTGGGACTGCCCTCTGTGTGAGAATGCCCCCTAGAGTCCCGAAGATACCCCGCAGTGGTGCTGAGATAACTGATGCCTGAAGGGCCGGGGGACGTTCCCTCTTCACTGGCCGCCCCTGTTTGCACACTGGCCTCTCCCCATTCTGCAGCTGCAGACCTGCCCTCCTCCTGCCAGAAGAGTCCCTCCTTTGGCTGCATTTGTTTCTAGGGCAGCACCTGCTCCTCCCAGGCAGCGGTGTCCCATCCCCGAGCCCCGAGCCTGCCCCCCACCCACCTGCCGCCACCGCCTCCATCTATAGCCTCTTTGGCTGCCATTCGCGTATCCCCTATCCTCAGCCTCGCCCCTCCCGACTCTCCTCTTGTGTTCTTGCTAATCTGTGACGTCTACGTTGGCCATATGGGACCCCCACCCTCACCCCCTCCAAGTGCTCACAGAAGGTTCCCGTAACAGCTGCTTGGGCACCTCATGGTGGGAGATTCTGTAACCTACCTCTCAGCTTTGAGAGGCAGAACAGTCTATGAAATAAGAGATGGTGTCAGAAAGATGAAAAAGTTGCCTATAAATGCAAAGAAGGAGTTAGGTCTGGACGTTTGGTTCCAAACTGTTTAGCATCACAGGGTATCCCTCAGGACCAAAGGATCATAGCTGATGGGAGTGAACAAAAGCAGCGGCTTTACCATGTCGGAAACCTTGAGGTGTCCATAGGAAAACACGATGGCATTAGGTGGGGTGGCCACGGGCAACATGAAGGCAAAGGATGAACTCAGCGTGCAGGGGATCATGATGTACAGCGGGTTGAGGCCAATGGAACGTGACTGGGGGAAAACACAGCACCACAATGTCACAGATGCAGAAAACAAAGCTCCCGGGACCATCAGTCTGAGAGCATTTCCCTAACATACTAAGCGCATTCCCACCTCTGTGCCTTCGTCCTGCTGAGTCCACTACCCTTTGCCACACCTGGATGGTAACTCTGCTGGACCCTGAAGGCTAAACTCCCCAACACGCCTTTTTGGACCCCCTTGATTCATTCAACATGTATTTCTTGGGCACCTACTATATGCCAGAGACTGTGCTGGATGCTCCTGCCGCCCACGTGCGCACATCTGTCTATCCTGATGCAGACAGAGAGAGCCTGGACGGTACGGACCACGTCTCTCACCTGTGTATGTGCCTCAGTATGTATGTGTTTCTGTACACATTTGGGTTCATTTTGTATATGGAATTTGGTATCCATCTTTTTTACTCTAAAGCTTAAAATTCAGCCACACCTACAGAGCAGACAGATGCTCATAAATATTTGTTGAATAAATCAGTGATATAATTTGTAATGTCTGTCAGTATCTACCAAAGTGAATAATCCATCATGTGGATCTACATGCACTTGAGGGCAGACACACATGCAGAGCGGTTCAGTGCAACACTGTAACAGCACAACACACAGGAAATGGTCTCAACAGCCATCAATAGCAGGATGGTCAAATAATATATATATATACACAAACAATGGAATCGTTTGCAGCTGTAAAGAATTGAGTAGGTTTTACGTTTTAACGATGGAATGATCTCTGACATATATGATAAAATGTAATATATTAAGGTGCAGAACAGGACTATGAAATAATGCCATTTTTTAAAAAGAAAGTGTGTGTATGCTTGCATGTATGTGTGTGTCTAACACATCCAGAAAGATATCTAAGAAATTAATAATAGGCGTTATCTCTAGGGAGGAGCCTAAAGGGTAAGAGTCTGTATGCTCTTTGTATTATTAGACATTTTCCAGCCATGTGTATGTACACATTTTCAGCTTTGACAAATTACATGTCCCCATTTTATGAAGTATCCTTCAAGACTATGATTTTTTTTAATGACTTGATAGTATTCCATTGTATGAATATATGATAACTTATTTCACCAATCCCCTACTATTATGGAAGTATTTTTTATCACAGTTCTGTGATGTGCATCTTTATATATAAACTTGTAAGCATCTCTAATGATTTGCCTAAGATAGACTCCAGAACATAAAATTCCCAGAGTCAAGGGGTATGAGCGGGTTTCAGGTTACAGTTCCTGTGAGTAAACAGGTCTTGGAAAAGCCAATTTCCTTCCTGGTTTCCCCCATGATGTATGCACCCCACGTGTCTCTGGACCAAGCTGGGAAGTCACCCCCTTCCCCTTGCCCACATGTGGTGCTGAGCCAGGATTGTGAGGCCTGTGGGGAATCTAATTCAGGGCTTCTGATTCTAGAAAAGCTTGTTTCCAAAAGGCCTGACCACTTGCTCTGATGAAGACCCCCATTTATCTGACTGGTCTGGGAGTGAAAGCCAGGCCTCTGTGTGTGGAGGGAGTCTTCACTGCTGCATGATCAGCATCAAAAGAGGCTCCTTGGCATCCTTTTGTTCTGGGCCCCCTGCTGAGGGGTGGGGCAGATGGGCCACTTTGCTCTTCCTAACTCTTCCATCTTCGCTTGGAGAGGAGAAAGTCACTTGAGTTTGCTTTGTATACACATGGACACCCTGGCAACTGAATGAAAATTTACCAACTTCAGTCCTGTGCTGAGGCCTTTGTAAGTCTGTCCTCCCAACTCCAGAACGTCAAAGGGTAGTGAGCCCCCGCTTCTCCCAGGCTCATTTCCCATCTACAGAGGGTTTTCATAGCCCTCAGCCTACTTGACCCTCAGCGCACGCATAGGAGAAAGAACTTGAGTGATGTGTTTGGAAGATCCTGAACTTGAACTCAGGTCTTCTGACTCTAAACCTAGGCCTTTTTTTGTGCCACCTTGAGTTGGTACTGCCATGTGATGAGTGACAGAAGGAAATGCAAGAAAAGATGGCAATCGAGCTTCCTATACGCTCTGCTTTCTTCTCAGGCCCAGCTCAAAACTACACTTGCCCAGAGAACACAGTTCTTTAGCCTGACCCTCAGCACCCTCATTCACAAGCTCTCTAGGTTCAGGGCACACTGCTCCATGATCCCTGAGCTTTCCAAGCAGGGCTTCTGGGAGTTTTCAGTCCTACAACCATTTCCTTTACATGGGCTTTGTCCAGCTGGGTCCTCTCTGCCTTTGTCCTGCTGGGTCCACTACCCTTTGCCACTACCTAGGCCTCCCTAAGGTGCCACTACTCCATCTCCACAGAACGTCCTCTCCCCTCCCGCCATCCCCAGGCTCCAGTTCCCCCAAGATCTCTTCCTGGTGGGTTCCAGCCAGTGGTGACCCCTGTCCTGCAGGCCTCCCGCTCACCTGTGCTACATTTTGAGAGCCCCTCTATCATTCCCCCATGACCTCCTTGGTGCCAGCGCTGCCTTCTGAGCTTGAGAAATAATCAGTTACCTTTATAAACAAATTTAGAGCACCCGGTTCTTGCTGAGCACTTCGGGTCAGCATAGAGGACACTGAGAAGAACCAGCAAAGCACTGACAGCAGGCCCAGGGCCATGAGGGACTCAGGGACCTGGGTCTCCAAAGCCTAGCTAGGCTTGGGCCCCTGATGTCACTGCCTCTCTAGGGACCCAGTCGGCTTCCTCCGAAACGACGACTCTCCCCCAGCCGAGTTACTTACCATGGAGGCAAAGATGGGCAGGAACAGGGTGGTGGTGGCCACGTTGCTTGTGCACTCCGTGAGCACAGCAATGAGTGAGGACATGATCAGGGTGATGGCTGTCGGGGACACGGTGTGCAAGGGCTCCATCTGCTTCCCCATCCATTCTGATAGCCCGGAAGCCTGGGAAGCGCAGGGAGGGCAGTCACCACAGGGCCACTGGCTCACAGCTCCTCCAGAGCCTGGAGGGACCTTCATCTTTCTCCGAGGAGCTCAGGCCAGCCTTCACTTCCAGCTCTCTTTCTCTGAACACATACCATAGGTGCTGTCATCCATGCCCACAGTTTTGATCTCCAACCTCACTCTGCTGTCTCTGAAATCTGTCTCCAGCCTAGCTGGTCTACTGTCTGGATTTCCACCCAGATGTCCTGGGAGCATGTCAGACTAAACACGACCCAACCTGAATTCACCCTCTCTAGCCCAGAATCTGCTCCCCCTGGGCTCCCCAACTAGGTAACTAGACTCACCTACTGTCCAACCTGGAAGGCTAAGGAGTCATCCTGGGGTCTCTCTCCCCCTTAGTCTTTATGCCCAGTGACCATGTCACCCAAAACATCTCAAGTCCATCATCTCCTCTCAGTCGCCCACAGTTCTTGAAGCTCAAGAGAGTGATTTGTGCCAGAAACTGGGAATTTATATTTAGGGCTTTAGGCTGAGAATAGATTGTACAGGGAGAGAATGAAAAGTGAACAGAGAAGAGGCTAAGGATAGAATCTTTGGGAACACTCATATTTATAGGAGAATAGAGAAAAAGTCAGCAGAGGAGGCAGAGCAGGAACAGCCAGAGTTACAAGTAGGAGAGAATGATGTTTGGGGGACCAAAAGAGGAAAGAGTTTCAAGGAGGAGAGAGTGGTCCATGGAGTCCAGTGTTCTGAAACTGTGTTAGATGAAGGCTATAGAGCATCTGCTGGGTCTCCCCCAAGCCCCGCCCTTCTTAGGCCTCCACTCCAGACATCCGAGAGATTTTTTCCTAAGTGTACATCTGACCAAGTCACTTTCTGGCTTTGACCCTTCAGTAGCTGCCACCACTTTCAGAATGAAGTCCACACTCCTTATCTTGACCCTCAGTGAAGCAGTTTCTGGGAGGTAACACCAGCCTTATTATCTTCTGCTGTTCTTCAGCTAGATTATTTCACACTTATTTCTTTACTCGTGTGTCACTTCTTTCTGAACTGCTCTTCCAGACATCCCCCCATCTCTAGGATGGGAAATCCTCAAGAACAGAGACTGTATCTCAATCTCCTCTGTAATTCCTATGCCTGACCTAACATAGATATAGTTGGAAGGTTTGATGATGAATGAATGAGAGATGAATAGATGGATGGATGATTGGAAGGAGCAGTGACAAAATGGATGGATATGTTCATCAAAAAAACATTTATGAACCCACTACTTGCCAGCTAGATGCTGAGCAAACAGCAATAGTAAGATAGACCAAGTTATCTATAACATTCTATTCCCGGATGGATGGACAGATGCACAGATGAATGAAGGACAGCAGCACCAAGGCGGCTCATCCCCTCCCCCTCTAGTTCATTTCTTCCCTATTAGGAAAGGAGGGAAGGAAGAAAGTTGCATTTTGGAGGGTATTTTCTTCCAAATGCTGTTCTCTTCCTATGTCACTACATACCTAGCTAGAGAAAAAATTTCTAAATGGCAACAGTATCAACAAAAGAGGTCAGCGGGTAGATGAATCAAAGGAAATGGTGAAACTATTCACAAAGATTTGAAAGAAAGATTTGCCTTGAGTAAATCAAAGCAGAGATCATTATTCCCACAGCCTCCCAGGGACTTCCCAGCGTCCCCCGCCTCTCTTGGCTAACCATGATCGTTCACTGTTCTCTGAAATCAATCAGAGAGTACTCGCTCTGTTTCAGGTACACTTCAGTGTTTGCAGATGACAAGACAGAGGCACTGTCCTCCTGAAATGTGCAGTTAAGTGGAGGAGACAGACACGGAAACACAGAGGCAGAGCCCCAGGGTGCTGGGAAGGAGGGGTGCAGAGGCTCTCAGCTGCCCTCCCGGTGAAGGAAGAGGCCCTAGGCAGCCCCTCACCCTGCCCCCGCCCCGGCAGCGGAGAAGTTACCTCGCATCCTTTTGCCACAGCGAAGCCACCTCCCAGGAGAAGCACGATCCCCCAGGGCACTTTCTCCTGGGCCACCTTCCAATTCAGCAGAGGGGGTGGATAGAATGGAGTTTTCCTTTCTGAGAAGAGACGATAAAAGCACACACATACATTGGGAATTCCAGTGGTGGTCCAGTGGTCAGGACCCTGCACTTTCACTGCCGAGGGCCATGGGTTCAATCCCTGGTCGGGAAGCTAAGATTTCACAAGCCGCATGGCACAGCCAAAAAAATCACACACAACCCAAAGCAGCATTAGCAAACAAAAGAGATAAAAGTGATCTCATCAAGGGGGCATAAAAGCCTGCAAGGACAATAAGTACCATCTCATAGCTGTAAATCGGCTAAAATTTACAGTAATGACTACATTGACTGCTGGTAAAGACATGATATATTAAAGCTATTATATGCTCTGGTAGCGTTATAAATTGGTACAGCCTGTTTGAAAAGCAATCTCCCAATACATTTTAAAAGCCTTTAAGATATATATACTCTTTTACCCCAGCACCATCACTGCTAGAAATTTATCCTAAAGAAGAAACACTCTCAAAGAAAAAGCTATATATACAAAAGCATTCATTTATAATAATGAAACATTCAAAATAGCCAGAATGCTCCATAACAGGGGGATGGTTATAGCCCCCTGATACAGTATAATGCCATAATTAAGAAAATAAATTTGAAGGTTGCAACAGTAACAGGAAATGTTGGTAGAATAACTACAAACAAAAACATGAAAACAAAATCCAACAGAAAACAGATTAAAATATGTTTTGATTATAGCTATATAATATCTGTATGCATATTAACAAAGACTGGGAGGGAGAGAGAAACCCCCAAAATACTGATGGCATCATGGGAAATCCCTTTCTGTTCCTCTTATAAAATAAAGAAGATTTCAAATGCTTAAAAAGCAAAAGAAGAGGTCTTGCACCAAACAATACCCAGGGCAGTCTTGGAAAACACCCAGTGCCCAAACTCTGTGATCGAGCCAGGCCTTTGGAACAGGGTGAGGTTTTCTCCCTCCTGGGCCCAGGGAACCTCATGGAGACCCTTGGCTGCCAGGGCCCCAACCCTGATGAATGGGAGGCCAGGACAGGAGCCTTACCTTCCTCAGTCTGGCTGCAGAAGTTGAACTTGGGCTTCTGTGAAGGCATGATGAACAGCAAGGTGGCCACAAAGATGGCCACGGTGGCATCGGAGGCGTACCTGGGCAGGGAAAGCACATAGGATTAGCCCGGCTTGGCTGCAGTGACAGTCACGCAACGAACCTGCTCTGTGTCTGAATGCTCCTACATGAGGAAGCTGGCTCCTCTGAGAAAGAAAAGTGATACTCCAGGACTTCCCTCGTGGTCCAGTGGCTAAGACTCTGTGCTCCCAGTACAGGGGGCCTGGGTTCGATCCCTGGTTGGGGAACTAGATCCCACATGCTGCAACTAAAGCCAAATAAATAAATAATTAAATGAAAAGAAAAAAGAAAGAAAATTGATACCCCAAAGGCCAAGATCAGGGGTGCTGAGGCAGACTGAATCCAGGCTGGAAACCAAGACACCTATATTCTTGGCCTGGCTCTGCCACCATCTTTGAGTGACCCTGAGCAGCTCATTTCCCTCTCTCAGCCTGTGTTGCTTTATAGGTGAACTTCATGCACTCTTCTCAACCAGATTCTCTGGATTTTGGGGTCACCAGGATGACCGCAAGGACTCTGGGGCAACCCCAAGCAGACCTTCAGAATGAAATAAGGCACTGATAGGTGGCTATCTCTCAGACCACATCTTCCGCCTTTTCTAGGATATGCATGGTCTCAACTTTTCTTCCTTTCTGATCACATAACTTAGCCAGAAGAGAAACTCCGTATCTCCCTTTGGCCAAGTCTCTTTCTAAAGAAGCTTCTGGACCCTGGATGTGCGTCTTCAGAGGGCCTCATCCGAATCTGGAGAAAGATAAGAAAGGATAGACGGCAGAACAGAGACTGGGGAACCAGAGCACTGGGAGCCCCAGTCGTCGCCCAACAAACTTCTGTCGCAGCCTGGCTGCCCTGAGGGACCACAAGAACACATCTGTGAGCTTGTCGGAAAGACTGGTGAGACAAAAGCAAGTCCGGAAACCAACAGAGCATTCCAGAACTGGACGGCAGAAAAGGAGGAGAGGCGTGAAAGGTGCTGCGGGAGGAGCCACTTACTTTGTCTTTCCCTCTGCCCAGGCGATCGACACCCAGCCGGGCATGAAGCCGGGGTCCCGAGTGAACCAGAGGCCGACCAGCAGAAAGAAGCAGAGCAGGACGTTGATCTCAGCGAAGGAGAGGGGCCCGAGCTTCCTGTACTCCGCCCGCAGCACCTCGTGCGCAGACTTCTCCTCGCCCTTCTTTTCCAGGCTGCAGCCCCAGGACAGACTAGGGGAGGCAAAGATGACAGGGCGGGGGGAGCATGTTGGTTGGCCCCAGGGCTGGCTGAATGGAAGTGTGAACACCGGGCAGCAGAATGTGTTAGAAGGTCACAGCGGGCTGCCCATCACCAGGGGGCGTTGAGCAAGTCCCTCCCCACTCCACATCTCTGTCATCTGCCCACCCGACTTCTCAGGACGTAGTGGCAAAGTCTGTTTTGTGTGCCCAGCATATGCCCCAGGGTGCCCCCAGAACTGGAGGGTGCCCCCAAAGGAAGCCTGAGAAGGCACAGCTCAGATGGCCAGTCTAGGCCAAGACTCAGGAAGAGAGGATGGCCAGGAGGGTGGGAGACTGAGTGAAATGGAGCGGGGATGGACAGGAGTAGAGGGGGCAGAAACAAGCAGAATCGAAGCCACCTCTGGCAAGGGCGTCCTGGCCAGTATCAGTTGCCTAGGGGCCAGCTGCTGCCATCACCTAGGGGACACTGAGAAATATGGAACCAGCTCGCGGTAGAGCCAAGGCTCCCTCAAGCTCCCTGTCTTCCTTCTCCCACTGCGGCCTGGAGCTGCTTTCAATGGTACTGGCATGCCAGTCCTCATCATCAGGTGGCTCAGGAGGACACAAGGAACAAGGACAGGTCCCAGCAGACTGGGTCAGGCAGGAGCAAGGTGGGTGCTTACATTCCAAGGAGCTGAGGTAGGATTAGGGACCCAGCAGACTCGGGCGGGGGGTTGGGGGTGGAGGGGCTGGAAGTGAGTGTGGCTAAGGCAGGGGGAGAAGCCAGCCAGATCCTGCTCTTGGATGGGCTCCCAAGGGACCAGGGCCCATTGGCCAACACACCTGCCCAGGGCACCCTGCAGCACATCTCCCCGGGGAGGATACCTAGCCCTGGGGAGAGCCAAATCATAGGAAAAGACTCTGATGCTGGGAAAGATTGAGGACAGGAGAAGGGGGCAATAGAGGATGAGATGGTTGGATGGTATCACTGATTCAATGGACATGAGTCTGAGCAAACTCTGGGAGGTGGTGAAGGACAGGGAAGCCTGGCATGCTGCAGTCCATGGGGTCGCAAAGACACGACTGAGCGACTCAACAACAGAAGTCTTGGGGAGGGACTGGCTGGGGTCACTGGCACACAGAATACCAACCCTGAGGAATCTATCAGCCTGAAGGTGGTGGCAAGGCCAACTTGATTGTCCCTAGAGAGCTTTCCCTTCTGGGAGTCCTTCCTGGGACCCTAAGTCAGACTTCCAAGGAGCATAGGAGTTGCAGAATAGGTACCCCGGTGCTGAATCCTGGAGCCAGGGCTGGATGCGAACCACCTTTAAAAGGGTAAGGGCCAGCCCGGGGATGAGGCTCGGCCTGGAGCAGGGACTCAGGGATGTTTGGACGAAGCCTCCCGTGGTGCTCAGGGGTTAGGAAAGGACGCTACAGGGGTGAGGGCTGGGAACTCAGGTCTACACAGCCTGCCAGGATCTCTGCTTTGGACAAGAGGCCAGACCGTTTGTCCCCAGGGCCACCCAGCAGGGACACCTTCTAGATCATCCAGCAGGGGGATGATTCTGCTGGGGTGGGAGCTGGCCTCTCTGTCCTCGCCCCCGTGGCATGAGAGTCTGTGTTCTACCTGCCACCAATCTACTGCTTCCTGTAGTTCCTGAGACTCTGGGGCTGGGCCGGAAGCTTCAGGCTTCCAGAACAGGATAAGAGGGGACTCTGGCCACCCAGCTCTTTTCTGATGCTGGTGACACATCCTGACAACACAGCGGCTGCAGACTCTGGGGGCAGCATCATATGTTCAGTTGTCCAGTGCTGGCCCTGCGGTAATGGTGCCGCCAGGCCTTCAGGTCCCTCTGAGGCTAAGTGTTCCACGCTTATCTTTGGGTTAATCCATCTGGTGACCTCTGGGCTGGCATGAGAGAAAGGCAGGTGGATCCAGCCTTCCTGTGGGAGCCCCGGGGGGCTGGATGGGTGCACAGGGTCCTTCTGCAGTAGAATGGCCTTCCTCAAGATGCTGATGAACTGGGTAGACATGCTGCTGGAGAGGCCAAGGGACCTTGAGCCCCCTGGAAGGGGTCCAGGAGAACCCTCCTCCCTGACTCAGGGCTTAGCCTGATGAGGAGGGCTGGGTGTAAGCCAGCAGCAATATCCCACAAGTCCTGAGGGGTCCTGGGGTGAGCTGCGGCCTCCTTCACTGGACATGGCCTAGGAAACTGCCCATAAACTCTGGAAGATCCATTTTTTATGAATCAGGCTGGAAGGAAAGACCCTGACATTGCTCTCCATAACCAACCAGATAAGGGATTCAAGCTGGGCAGCCAGGTGCCTAAGGGAGCAGCTTCCCTTTCACGAGGGGGTCTGGACATGGGGCAGGGTGGGGATGTGACGGAGGCCTAAAACCTTTATGTTTTTAATACAGCTGCTCTGATTATGGATAGAGTTGTTTTTTTTTTTACTGTAGTTTTCGAAACAATTCCTCCTTCAGAAGAAGACTTAACCAAAATGCCCCTTTTCCCCCATTAACTCACAGGTTTTCATGGGCATCTTTGCCTTTCAGCTCTGAAGTCTCCTCTCTCCTGCCACATAGGCCTGTTTTTCACTGGAGCTCAAGCTCCCTGTGAATTAAGGCACAGAGCATGCGGCTCACGTAGATAAGTCCGTGCCTTTAAAAATGAGAGCAACAGGGACTTCCCTGGTGGTCCAGGGGCTAAGACTCTGCGCTCCCAATGCAGGGGGCCCTGGTTCGACCCCTGGCCAGGGAACTAGATCGTGCATGCCCTTCTGAAGATCCCATCTGCCACAGCAAAGATCGAAGAATCCCAAGTGCCATAACTAAGACCGGGGGCAGTCAAATAAATGAAAACAAATTTAAAAAAAAATTTTAAATGACAACAACATTTTGAGGTGTTTATCAGCCACACATCATGGTTTCTGTGCAAAGCTTGGCTGCTGTCAAGGTTGACCTTGGTGAACCATGCCTGTGTGCTGGGAACCAGAAGGTAAACTTTGCAGAAGTGGCGTGCTTCTGGGAACATTGTGAGCATTCGGTAAATCTGGGCTTGGATTGATTGGGACACTCTCAGGCTATCTGCCGTGACCTGGCCTAAAAGTCACTTGCGGCCAAGTGGAAGTCTGTCCGGTTCTACACCAAGAACAAGAGTCTCGTTAATTGCTTTGACTCACGTTCAATGGCACACCTGCTCCTTCTCCCTGGGCTGGGTGCTGGGCGGGTGTGGGGGTCAGAGAGGACTTACTGCAGGCCCCAGAGGAGCTCGGGGTGGGGGGGCGGCACTGGTGCATGACTTCAAGTGCCGGGGGCGGGGGGGTGGGGGTGGGCGGTGGGCTCAGAACATGGAGTGGGCGGGGTGGAGCTGGGAAAGGAGTTGCTGAGGAAGCGGCATTTGAACTGGCCTTGAAGACTGAGGAGGTTGGATGGGAGGAAGGCAGGGAATGGCATTCCGGGGAGAGGGAATAGCAAGTGCAAAGGCACACGGAGTCACAGGGGTGGCAGGAAATGGAGGGCAAGCCAGCAGGAGATGGGGCTGCTGAGAAATGGTCAGAACTGGACAGGAAGCACTCTCTAGACTTAGCTGCTGAGCCAGAGGGGTTTGCTGCAGGGCCCGGCACGGTCAGACCCACTACTGTGTCACCATCTCAGACTTACTCGAATCTCATGTACATGAAGCGGAGCCACAACCAGGAGAGCAGGAGCATGATCAGCATGTTAGGGAAGGCGAATCCGAACCAGGAGGCGAAGTTCACGATGTCCTTGCTGTCCGGAAACAACCTGATGGGAGACATACCAGTCCACCCACATCTCTACCAGATGCTGGGCTGTGGAGAGTGGGTAGGCTGGACCCTCTGGGCAGAGGCTGAGCTACAGCTGGGCCCCGAGAGCTAGTCTGAAGCAGGGGGAGCTCATCCTCCTGAGGTCCAGCCACCCACACGCACCACTCGGCACTCTCTCAATCAAGCAGGGGCCCCAGAACAGAGCCACGCACAAGACAAGCCTGCAGTGTGACCAGCCGACCCTCCTGGGGGTCCACACCTGGCTGAGAAGCTCATGAAAAGCAAGGCCCTTCAGTCTAGAAGAATACACCTTTGTACACACATAACTGGCCAAATGTCCAGGGGGTCCACGGATTCCTCAGAATCACCCTGTGGGTGTGGGCTTCCACAAGAGAAGGGCCCCCTTAAAAGATCAATCTCAAAAGCTTCCCAGGGTGGGATAAGACAGTGTTTCCTGGGGGCTGGAAGAGAGTCACTTCTGCCCCCAGCCCCAGGCGCTGCTCCCTTTAGCCCAAGAGTGAAGTGGCATAGCGCTTCCCTGCTGACTCGGCAGTAAAGAATCCACCTGCCAATGCAGGAGGCATGGGCTCGATCCCCTGTAGGAGGAAATGGCAACCCACTCCAGTATTCTTGCTTGGGAAATCCCATGGCCTAAGGAGCCTGGCAGGCCACAGTCCATGGGGTTGCAAAGAATCGGACACGACTGAGCAACTAAACAACAACTTAGCCACAATTTTTCTCACTCAGCCCAGACAGGCAGCTTTGCCCAGAGGAGCTCCGGGGAGAACCATAAGGCTGTCATTACAGAAAACACTTGCAGAAGCAAAGCGGTCTGCTTGTTCCATCTCAAGTGCCCGCCCTGCCAGGCTGCAGGCCTGCCCTTCCCACCTCCAAGCCGCCCTCCCCACCCCTGTCCAGGGTGCTTGTCTACACAGGACGGGCACCACCATATTTCTGTTCCTTCTCTCTGTACCTACTGTGATTTGTACTTATCTTCACTAACACATTTACATCACCCATCAGAACTCTCCAGGCATCTGCTACCCTCCCTCGCCCTTGAGTATCCCACTGGCAGGCCCAGGACCCTCTCACTTCTGTGACCCCAGCCTCACAAGACCAGGCACAGAACTATACCATCAGAGCCTGGTTCCTTTCTGGTCAAGGCTGAAAAGTTCCAAACAGCCCCCTGGTCCACCTGGAGCCACATAAGGGCACATGTCCCCTCAAGGGCAATTAGAAGGGCCATAGTGGTGAGCCGGTGAGGCACCAGCTAACCTAACCACTAACCTTCCCCAACATCATAGAACCATCATCATTAAAGAGCAAGGTTGTGAACTGGCTTTGAGGGGAGCGTCTTTAGAGGCATCTGTTTTCTACAAGTTTTAACCAAGGACCCTGCTTCTCGAACTACGTTGTCGTTTCCCATGACGGGGTCTGGGTTCAATCCACATTCCCCTTCTGAGCAAGAATCCTGAGCCCAGGAAAGAAAGGTGGGACTTGTCCCAGGGTGAAAAGCAACCCTGTCTGTGGACATCAGCTCCCCCACTGTGGGGTCTTGAGCGTGTGCAGCGGGGCTGGGCCACAGAGGCTGAAGGCAGCACATCCTCCCTGTTCTGACATGTCCCTCCAGCCCCAGAACCCAGCTGAAGAGAAGGCAGAGGTAGGCGGGCCCCTCCAGCCCCATCCCTCTCACACTGTTATTGTCCCCAAAGTCATGGCCAGCGACTCACTCTTGCATCTGGCCCAGGAGCACCACGTTGGGTCCCGTCCCGGTCAGGGTGGCGGTGCCTCCAATGCTGGCCGAGTAACATATGCACAGGGTCAGGGCCTTGCACACGTTCTTCCTGTTGACCTCCTGCTGCCTCGCAGAGGGACCTTCCAGAGTTGCTTGGTTCCCTGTGGTGGGCACACCGCCATGAATTGAGCCAGCCCTGGGGGCCACCTGCCCAGCTCCAGCTCCTGACCCAGCTGCTGACTTGAGGATCTGGGCATGCCAGCTCTGCCAGCTCTTCCCCCAGGTTTTCTTTCCGCAGCCTCAAGCCCCAGGCTGTGGTCTGACCCCACCTGCCACCCACGGTCATGTCCCACGGCTCCTCAATGACTAGCGCAGAAATTCAGCGGCTTCAGACACACTCCTTTCCTTCCTGCCTCCTTGCTCTCACTGAAGATGTTCCCTTGAGTAGTCCCGATCCATCTCAGATGTCCCCTCTTCCTAGCAAAGCCTCTCCCTTTTCTGCTCTTCCTCCATGTCTGGTTTATGGTGCTCTGTGGCCTCTCCCGAGTCAGATGAGCTGTCCGAGGGGCCCCCTGACCCCACCCCACCAGGCTCTGTGAATCTGCAGTATGAGGGTGTCTGCTTCATCTCTGCAGCCCAGGACCTGGTCCAGGGTCTGGCCATCAGCACAGGCCCCGAGAGGCCATGCGGGACCCTGGGGATGAACGAGGCAGAGGAAAGGCATGGGCACTCTCTGACTTCCTCAATCTCAGTGTCCAGCGGGGGAGCCAAGGTGTGACCACCAGCCCCAAAACCTGTGGGAACAGAGTGGCGGAGGGACTTGGCCTGTTCAGACGAGGCCTCCCTAAGGATGAGTAGGGGTAGAAAGGATTCCAGGGCATCCAGGAGGAGCTCAAAAGATACCCAAATGAATATTCATATCAACATGTATTGATTTCTGTGATGGCAGGAACAGATGCGGGAGGAACTTGCTATAAGCTCCATGAAAAGACGGAACTTTTATGCACTAAGCATATTCCTAAAAGTTAGGAAAACAGCATTTCAAACTATTTCTCTATGTGCTTGTAAAAAAAGAGGGCTCCAGAAAGCAGGGAGGTGGCTCAAGTTTTTGGAAACAGAGGAGAAGCCTGCCCTGGCCAGGGGCTCACCTGGCAGCTCGCCGGCCTTGCCCTTTTCTGCCAGCTCCAGGGTCCCCAGGCTGGCCTCGGTGGCTGCACTCGTGGCCTCCATCTGCTGTAACACGGCCTCCACGATGGGCACCATCATGGCCGTGGTGGCCGTGTTGCTGATCCACATGGAGAGAAAGGCCGTGGCGCCCATAAAGCCCAGCATCAGCCTGCAGAGGAGGGGCAGAGAGGAAAGCCAGAGAATTCCCCACCCCCGGCCACCCCCAACCCCTAGAGAACTAGGTCCTGCCCGTGCAGGGACGCCAGGGGCCAGCACCAGGGTGCAGAAGCTGGTTTGGGACTGGATAGTCTAGGAGTGATACAGTGTTAATACCTGCCTCCCCACCTCCCTCCCTCTGCCACTCTCCACAAACATTATTGACATCTACTCTGCTGGCTACTGGGTCACCACGAGGCCTCTGCTCCCATCGTGGCTCTAAGGAGCTCACGCTCTAGCAAGCGAAGCACAGGCATGCAGTTGGTGCCGGCAGAGCGTGGAGCAGGCCCTAGTACAACCTAGGAGCACACAGGAGGAGCAGTCCCAGCTTCCCATTTCTATCTGGAGGATTCCCAGCCCCCCAGATCCTGCTCCTCCTGAGTTCAGAAGGCCTGCGTGGAGTCAGGCTTCCAGAAGGGGGAGAGCCAGGAGGGGCCTGGGGAAGTGGGACCTCCCTTGTAGCTAACCCCCACCCCACGTCTCCACTCACACACTGTGCCCCCCTCCACTCTGCCACGGATCAGAGCCCCAGAGAGTACTCAAAAAACATGTTCCCTTCCCATATGGCACCCCACTTTCTACCTCTGTCCCCACTGAGTCATCTGCCTGGAAAACTCCCCTCATGGCCCTTCAGAGCCTTCAGGCAGCACCTCTTCTCTGACGCTTCCCTCCCAATGCACACGGGGTTAGGGCTGACCACACCCTCCTCGGTCTTCTCTAGGACGCTCCTCCCTGGCTGGAGACAGAACTGTGTCCACATCTGCTCCATGAGCATGAAGGTCTGATTCTTCACCATGGGTCCCGTACACTTGGCACAAGGCCAGGAACAGAAGGCGTTCCAGGGTTGGGGGGCAGGAAGGGTTTGGCTGAATGGAACTCAACTTCTTGGCCCTCACGCCCTTCGGCAGTCAGGCCCCTCCCCAGGGCCACTCATTTATTTGCCTGTAGAAGGGTCTGGGGGCTGCCCTGCATCATGGTATAGCAGGTGTTCCTGCAGGTAGACCTCATGGCCCCCTAAGTACAAAGGCTGGAAGCCAGGCTTAGAGGAGGGGGCAGTGACAGGAGGGAGCAGAGAAGCATGAATGAATATCTTGGATTTGGTTTGGGAGCAAAATGCTCCAGCATACTCCAGAATAAGGTCCACCCGCTGATGGAGAAAAGCCTCCCACTCAAAGGATCCTAGGAACAAGAATTCGGGGGCCTGCAAGGCCTCATGTTTCTAGGCAATCAGTTCTGATGTGACCCTGAAAACCAATCGCTGGAGGGGCTCGATGTCAAGAAGGGTCACAGGTCAAAGAGTCACAAGCCCTCACTCAAGAGAGCTGGGGTGCCAAGGGTGCTCAGACACTGGCCTCCAGGAGGGCAGGCAGGTCTCTGCCGTCAGGGCCCAGCATGGGCCTTGACACAAGGACATCGAAGGACGGACTCACTGTGAACTAACCCACCCGCCTTCCCAAGGCTGGGCTGGGTCACGGCATCATTTAGAAAGATGCATCCTGAGTTCCAGATTAGAGGGGGCAGGGTGCCATCAGACAGATCCAGCCTGCACCCACCTTGTCCCCTGGATCCTGCAGCCTTTCCCCTAGGAAGTCTTCTGAACATGCAGGGACCCTTGCTGAGCAGTCTTCTCTAGATTCAGAGAAACTTTACCCACTGCTGCTTACCATACACCCCCCGCCCCCAGTTGCTCCCCGACTCCCACCATCCTTGCATCTGGCCTCCCTAGCTAAGGTTGTAACATGACCCACCCAGGGGTCTGCCTGGCTGCCCTGCCCAGGTAAGGCCATGGTCAGCCCTTCCCTGTGAGTCCGCGCCTCATATTCCCCTCCCCAGCCCTGGGCCTAACTGTGAGAGCGAGGAGGCATAATTACTGTGCAGGCTTGGTCCCCACCCAGAGGAGCGTGCGCAGAGCAATCCTCTTGTGCAGGTTCCAGTGCTCCACAGCCACAGCCACAATGAGACCGCCAAGGAACAGCATGTTGGTATCCTTCATGTACTGGATGCTCACCTGCAGGTGGGCACAGAGGCTCTGTCGGAACCGCCCCCTGGCCACACACTCCTTGGGCTCAGGGCCACCCAAGTCCCCAGAGACAGGCGAGCAGAACAGATGCTGACTTCAGGGCAGCTTGGAGTGGGCACAGAGGGTCAAGGGTACGTCTCTCTGCCAGAGAGAGCGCACAAACAGGGTCTGATCTGGTCGCCCGGGTCCTACGCAGCTGAGAGCCGAGCTCAGAGGATGAGTCATAGGGAGAAATGTTCTGGGGCTGCTCACCTGCTTGGAGTCCAGAATCTTGAAGAGTGGGAAAAGCAAGGCAGGCAAGAGGGCGGTGATAGCCAGAGGGATGACTTCTGTGCACCAGTAAACAGCCATGATGATGATGATGTAGGCACACCTAACAAACTGGAGAGACAGCCCTGAGATCCTGCAGACTGCTGCCATCCCGCTCCCCAGCCCAGAACACTCAGCATGGCAGTGGGCATGCATGCCTGTGTGCTCGGTCACTTCAGTCGTGTCCAACTCTTTGCAAGCCCGTGGACTGGAGCTCACCAGGCTCCTCTGCCCATGGGACTCTCCAGGCAAGAACACTGGAATGGGTTGCCATGTCATCTGATTTGAAAAGCCAGCTCATTGGAGAAGACCCTGAGGCGGGGAAAGGTTGAGACTAGGAGAAGGGGAAGACAGAGGATGAAATGGCTGGATGGTATCATCAACTCATTGGACATGAGTTTGAGCAAGCTCTGGGAAATGGTGAAGGATAGGGAAGCCTGGAGTGCTGTAGTCCATGGGGTTATAAAGATCTGGACAACCTCCAGGGATCTTCCTGATCGAAGGATCTAACATGCGTCTCTTATGTCTCCTGCACTGGCAGGCAGGTTCTTTACCACTAGCACCACCCAGATGCACAGCACAGCTATCTTCTAATTCGATCTTTTTACTTGCATCACTCCACAATGCTGCTTCCTTTCTTTTTTTGCAAGTCAGATCATATCTGACATCATATCACTCCTGTTTAAAAGCCTTTCTCTGCCTTCAGGACAGAAGCCAAATGCCCTAGCACTCTTTGGAGACCTTTCTGCCACGGAGCAGGCCCCTCCAGCCACATCTCCTTGCCCACTCCCACTTTGAGCTCCATAACCCCAGAGCCATGGTGAGAACTGAGGCCAATGCCCTGCCTCCCGCGACTGCAAGACGCTCCCTTGGCCTGGAGAGAGTGCTCCGGGCTCAGCTCACCACTGCTCCTTGGGCATCTCCCCCTTCCTGCCCCTAGCATGGGTCTGCGCCCTTCCTCTGCACCCCTGCCCCCACCCCAGCAAGCAGCACACTTCAGTTGGCATTATTTGTTTCACTAGCACCACTCCTGACTTCCTGCCCCCCCAACCCAAAGAGTGGAGTCAGCAATGGAGAGCAGAATCCATGTCACTCAGCATCCAACACAGGCCTGACACCCCAGGGACACTCAGCAAGTGCTGATCGGAGGAACGACCGGCACAGCACGGGCTGTGACAAACGCACCTGCACAATCACGGTTTGTCATCACCCAAGATAACATGTGTTATATGCATGGAACATCGCACAAAGAGACATTCTTTGTCCGGTTTGTGTTATCAGCGATAAAATACGAGCACACCAGGACACCCCCCTGCTCTGATGCAGGGTTTCTCAGCCTCAGCACTATTGATGCTTTGAGGGGGAGGGGCCTGTCCTGCGCATGGCAGGGTGTGTGGAAGCCCCCCAGCCTTCATCCCACTAGATGCCAGTGGCACTCTCTATCTGTAACAACAACAACAAAAGGTCTCCAAACTTTGCCAGATGTCCCCGAGTTGAGGAGAGGGGAGTCAATGCTGCTGACAGCACTGGGCTGAAGGCAGGACAACAATGTGGTTAGAAGCCCAGCCTTTGACACCCGGCAGGCCTGATCAGTGATCATTATCTGCCATTGTGTGGCCTACCTTGTCTCTGAGGTGAGAAAGAGAGATAGGAATGATCTGCTGCAGGGGTAGGCAGTGAGGGAGCGTGCTGCAGAGATTTCAGACACCGTTGTTTAGTCACTAAGTCTTTTGCAACCCCGTGGTTGCAAAACACACCAGGCTCCTCTGTCCATGGGATTTCCCAGGCAGCTTCCAGACCCAGGGATTGAACCCTCATTGCCTGCATTGGCAGGCAGATCCTTCACCACTGAGCCACCAGAGAAGCCTCTTAAGCACAGTAGTACTGTCTAAACTCAGTCTCCTTATCATCAGATGATAGCAATTCTCAACAATGTCTTTGATAAAATGCTCCTCCCACTCCCAACCCTGGCTGCCCCCCTGTTTGTTTCAAGTCCTCACGTATAAATCAAGGATTGAAGAGCACCCATCCTAAACGTATGCCACATAGAAAGTGATATTTTTATTATCTAAACAGCAGGTGACACGTGTAAGCAATTTTCCCAGACAGTTCCTGGAGGCTCCAAACATAACCAATAGAAAGCACACGAGACTAACTACCCCCTCTCCTCTTTGCTTCTATCAGGAGGCTCAGGAGATGCCCCTGAATAACGTGCTAAGTCACTTCAGTCGTGTCCAACTCTGTGACCCCATGGACTGTAGCCCGCCAAGCTCCTCTGTCCATGGAATTCTCCAGGCAAGAATACTGGAGTGGATTGCCATGCCCTCCCACAAAGTTGACCCTCCCTCATCTACAATGCTCCAGAGGGTTGTGGGTAGAGAAGGAAAGGACAGGTTGACCTTTGAGAAGCCTGAAGAGAGGCTGGCAACCGTGCAGAATGAGATGGGTTCCAACTGCAGGTGGAAGCCTGAACCCCAGTGAGCTCAGAGCCTTCTCTGCAGCAGAGAGTATGACCAGAGGAGTACTTCAAGCTGAGCTCACTGTGGACAATGGGATTTAAAGGTCAGCACCCAGCACAGTACTGAGCACAAAGGGTAGCTCAATAAATACATTAAATGCACAACTGAAGAAAACTGTGGTTTATCATTAACCTAATTATTAAGAAGGGCATCCACGACATGTTGTTTAATGGGAAAAGTGTAGCTAAAAGAACATACTGTGTGTACATTATGGGATTTGAAAGTATTTTCATTCAATGGGACTTCCCTGGTGGTCCAGTGGCTAAGACTCTGCACTCATAATGCAGGGGGCCCCGGTTTGAGCCCTGGTCAGGGAAATAGATCCCACATGCTGCAACTAAAAAATCCTGTATGCTGCAATGAAGACTGAAGATCCCACATGCTACAATTAAGACCTAGTGCAGCCAAAAAAAAAAAAAGTATTTTCATTTTTACTTTATACTTTCCAGACTTTAAGAATTTTTAATAATAATGAATGCATTGTTTATTTAATAAAAAGCAATTAAAAAAAAAAGAAAGAACCCAGAAAATGGGTAGAAAAGTGGAGGAGAGATGATGACTGGAAGGAAGCAAGGTGTAGGAGAAGAATAAAAGAAGGAAGCCTGCAGCAGAGAGGCTGGGGCACCAGTGGAGGGGACTCACCCTAGGAGTCGCTCCCCTCCCCTTGGATGATACAGCCTTCCCTGCCGCTCTGCCCCTGACCCTGGGTTTCCTTGCAAACTTTGTGACCCTGGGGATGGGGGCAGGGAGCTCTTCAGTGGTGACCAAAACAGAAGCTCAAAAGGAGAAAACAAGGAGACAGGGCTCCAGACTCCCAGGCACCTGCGCCACCACCAGGCAGGAAAAGGCAGAAAGGCAGCCTTTGGAGTGACTGTCACTGATGTCTCCCCTTCCCTCTCCTGATCCTCCCTCCCAGACTAACTTAATGACATGCAGACACAACCAGAGCTGGGGCTCCTAGCTCAGGGTCTCCACTGTATGTTGGTGGGGTGGGGGGCGGGTGGTCTTGGTCAAACTCTCCTGGAGCAGGAGGGTCAGCAAAGTGACTATAATTAGGGGAACACTACTCCCACCAGCAGGACTCAAATCACAGCTCTCCTGCCTGACTCCCTCCCACAGCTGGTAACAGCCCCAGATCTCTTTCTACAGAGGAAATACTGTGGATCACAGTTGATGTGGAAGGTCCACCCTTGTTGGACCTGCTGTCCTCAGCCTATCCAGGGTCTGTGATCAGCCTACCCAACGGCTCCTCCCCCACCTAGGAACCAGCATGACCTGTTTTGGCACCTACGGCCATAAAATGTCAAAACCAAGCCTTCTTGCTCCATTGTACAGATGAGAATATCAAGGCCCAGGGAACACAGGAGTGTGGCTAAAATCACAAGGATGGGGTGAAAGGTGGAAGTCCAGTTCTCTCAAAGCCTGGCTTCCTGATACCCAGTACAATCCCACTTCTCCAGAACTGCCTTCAGCGCGTCCCCTAAAAAGATCCTCTGTTGCCCAAACCTTCCTGGCTTGTGGAGGGGGAGCAGAGGTTTCCTGTCTGGGCTGAGAGTGAAAGGCTGAAAGAGGGAATGAGTAAGGAGCAGCCAGCAGCCACAAAAGGTTTCAAAGGGCTCGGGCCTCTGCCAAACGGGCCTCTCACTGCCCAGCGGGGCCTGGGCCAGCGCTCCTGGCACCGCCCCCACCCTACGGCCAAGGCCATTCATTCTCTGCTTCCTTCCCGGGAGCCCTCGGAGGCCAGGGCTTGGGACACAGCTTCCCCGCAACCCTGGGTCGTGCCACCCAAGGCGTGAGTTCTGGGAACATGTCCTGCCTCCTGCCGGAGCCACAGTGGGCAGTGAGCAAAAGCAGGCCAACCTGACCTGCCTTTTCAGCTGCGAGTGGCAGCAGGACTCTGATTCAGCTGTGGCTTCCTAGGCTTCAGAGCTGGAAAGAAATGTGCATCATAGATTGGGAAACTGAGGCTCAAAAGAGGGCCAGAGGGGGACAAAGATGGGACTCAGGATCCCCTGGTGGTTCAGACGGTAAAGAATCTGCCTGCAATGCGGGAGACCTGTGTTCGATCCCTGGGTTGGGAAGATCCCCTGGAGGAGGGCATGGCAACCCACTCCAGTATGCTTGCCTGGAGAATCCCTGTGGACCGGGGGGCCTGGTGGGCTACAGTCCATGGTGTTGCAAAGAGGCAGACACAACTGAACGACTAAGCACAGCACAGAATCCACCAGGGTCGTGACTTTTTCCTGTCTGTCCCTGACTGGCCTCAGAAGCCACCTACAGCTGGGAAGTCCTCAGTCCCTAAGTGAAGAGACAGGAGCGAGAAGGAAAAGACAAGTGCCCAAGCTCCCTGTTGGTACAGGTGTCTTTTAGGGGCCCTGGGGACAGGGTTATGCACCTGGAGATTCTGAGCCTACGGATGGGCTGTGTGGCCAAGATCTGTGCTATTTTCTAGGTTTGTGTGCTTGCCAAGACGGTTCTTGTTTGCTGGGATCTGTGAATCCCAAGATCCATGCCCCTCAGAATTCCTCACAGGGCACCTCCCACGGCATCCGCAGCTCCAGAAGGTGCGTGCCCCCAGGGAAGTCGTGCCCGCCCGGGAATCCGTGCGCTCCACCTAATGGTCCCGGGTTTGGTGCCCCAAAAGGGGCACCCGGCTCCCGGAAGCCACCGGGCTGCCCAGAGACACAACTGACCTTGGCGGGCATCAGAATGATGAGTGGCAGCAGCAGGATCGGGGTGAGGAACAAGATCACGAAGGACTTGAACTTGGAGACATAGCTCAGTGCAGAGGCCATCGCGGAGAGGGAACCTGGCGGGAGAAGCGAGAGAAGGGCAGCCAGTCGTTGCACGGGCTTAAGAAGGGGCCGCAGTCCAGGGAGGGGGTTGGAGGGGGCGGCGGCAACTCCGCCTCCCACGACGGAGCCTCCCCGCGGCTCCGGGGGCGGGGCCACCCCGCAAGGTCGGTGGGACAAGCCTGCCCCCAACTCTGCCTCTGGGCCGCCGCGGGCGGCGCCTGCGGGCTCCAGCGCTTCGGGCCGGCGCTCCAGGAGGGGTCGGGTGCCCGGCACCTCCTGACTCTCCAAGCCCCAATCTCTCCCTCCTTTTCACCTGTGATGCCCTAGAGAGGAGTGCCCGAGGGAGTCCAAGCGGGAGGGATCTGTCATTCAGTCTGGGCTTAGAAGTTCGGGTGCCCCTCCCGCCCCCAGTCCCCTCTGCATCTTCATCTGCCTTTCCTGGGCCCCGTCTGGGTCCCAGGTGAAGGTTCCCAGCGGTTTTTGAGTCTTTCAGATCCATCTCCCCAACCTCTCCCTCCTTTTCACCTGGTTACTTCTGCTCCTCACACGCCGATCCCGGAGGGGTCTCCCGCAACCGCAATGACCCACCGAGCACCTAGGGCGGTCTGCTCCGGGGGCCTCTTCTCCTCGCCTCCCACCAACCCCACCACCCCCATCCTGGTCACGCTCGGCTTCCCTGCCCGGACCCCGCTGCTCTGGGCACAGGACCGGTCCCCCGCGCCCACGCTCTCTCCCACCCAGCGCATCCCGGGCACTCTCCAGCGATCGCGCAGGAGATGAGGCCACTGTCCTGTGCTGTCCCGGCGGCTTTCGCCCTCCAGCGGATACCCGCGCAGCAGGTCCGACGCCCCGCTGGCGCTGCGTCCGCGGAAAGCCGACTGAGCCCGCCTGACAGAGAAGTTACTGTCATTCTACAAGGAAAAGAGAGTCCAGAAGGAAGGGACTTAACCGAGGCTGCACTGAGAAGGTCGTTCATTCCCTGAGCCGCCGCCTGCAGGGTACTGAGCAGCTATTGTGTTCTGAGCCCTGTTTTGTGTGCTGGAGGCACAGGGATGCAGACGCTGCCACCACCCCCAACTAGCACTTTTCTTCCTTCTCTGCCTCCCTGTCTTCTCAATCTGCAGTCTTCTTTGGAGAAGTCCTACCCCTGTTTGTGGTTTAACTGTAACCTTCTCCATAGAGATTACTATCATCTGTCTTTAGAGGATAAGATGTCTGAAGAGGAGGACAGAGGATGAGATGGTTGGATGGTATCACCAACTCAATGGACTTGAGTTTGATCAAACTCTGGGAGATCGTGAAGTACAGGAAAGTCTAGCGTGCTGCAGTCAATGGGGTCACAAAGACTCAGACACACTGGTCCACTGAAGAACAACAATCCTTGATCTTCCACCTAGCTCTGATGCCAGAGTCCCAGATTCTCCATATTCCCAACGTCTTCCAGTCTGGATGTGTCTCAGGACCCTAAACTCATCACATCTTAATTCAGATTCTCAAATCTCCTGCTGTGACCTCCACCTAAGGACAGGTATTGCCCCAAGTCCTCCCTGCATCTGCCTCTCATATACCCTTCTGCTTTGTAACTCTCATTCATCTAACCCTGGCTTTCCTCCCATCCCACCCCCACCCCCTGCCCCATCCCAGGGCACTTAGCGCTATTCGTACCTATTTATTTACTGGTGTGATTTTTTTAATTTGATGTCTATTTTATTCATCCCCATATGTCCAACCAGCACCTTTCACAGTACCTGATCCAATGTGTGTGCGCAAAACTTTTTCTCTGGGATGTGTGAATGAAAGCAAGTTATCAACAAAAACAGTCAAGAGTCAACATAAGAAAACAAGGGAAATTTTTATTCCAGCCAGCTGAAGGATTATGATTCAGGAAAGTCATTCAGAAAACTCTGAGCACTGCTCTGTTAGAGGTCAAGTCACTTCAGTTTTTGAGACAAAGTGTGTTACATCAAAGTAACATGTTGATGATCTAGTCCAAGGAAGTAAATTGGTTACTGTGACCCCTTCCAGGATTGAAAGAGAAATGTTATCTCCTAAGGAATTATCTTGCTGGTGAGAAAATCTCCCTCCTTCTTTTTGAAAGTAGACCTTCCTCTGTCCTCTAGGGGATCTAGTTAACGTATAACAGGCTTCCCCGGTGGCTCAGCAGTAAAGAATCCACCTGTGCTGTAGGAGAGGCAGATTCGATTCCTGGGTTGGGAAGATCCTCTGAAGGAGGAAATGGCAACTCACTCCAGTATTCTTGCCTGGGAAATCCCATGGCTGAAGAGTCTCGTGAGTTACAGTCCATGGGATGGCAAAAGAGTCAGACATGACTTAGCGACTAAACAACAATATCAAGATAGTTACCGTATAATGCAGGTGTACAACGCACACTATAGGGAAGACAGAAGTGGTTCAAATGGGCAGAGAATTCTATGTTTAAATTTTTTCCTGCCCTAAGAATAATATTATTTCATCCAAGTACACCATTTCCTTACAATGATACAACTGCTTTTGTTACCCAACTGAACTTGGGTCCATTAGGCCAACTCTATTCTGGCCTGGAGAATTCCATGGGCTGTATAGTCAGTCCATGGAGTTGCAAAGAGCCAGACATGCCTGAGCAACCTTCACTTTTCACTTTTACCAAAGCCAATCTACTGACATTAGGTTGTGGGGAATTGTGATGCTGCAGGTGCCAAGCAAGGAGATCAGGCAGCTCATGCTCAAAAAAATTCAAACACTCCAATGACTTTCAGGGAAGAGCTTTTTTTTTTTTTTATTAGTTGGAGGCTAATTACTTTACAATATTGTAGTGGTTTTTGTCATACATTGACATGAATCAGCCATGGATATACATGTATTCCCCATCCCGATCCCCCCTCCCACCTCCCTCTCCACCCGATCCCTCTGGGTCTTCCCAGTGCACCAGGTCCGAGCACTTGTCTCATGTATCCAACCTGGGCTGGTGATCTGTTTCACCCTAGATAATATACATGTTTCGATGCTGTTCTCTTGAAACATCCCACCCTTGCCTTGTCCCACAGAGTCCACAGTCTGTTCTATACATCTGTGTCTCTTTTCCTGTTTTGCATATAGGGTTATTGTTACCATCTTTCTAAATTCCATATATATGTGTTAGTATACTGTAATGGTCTTTATCTTTCTGGCTTACTTCACTCTGTATAATGGGCTCCAGTTTCATCCATCTCATTAGAACTGATTCAATTCAATTCAAGAACTGATTCTTGAATTCTTTTTAATGGCTGAGTAATATTCCATGGTGTATATGTACCGCAGCTTCCTTATCCATTCATCTGCTGATGGGCATCTAGGTTGCTTCCATGTCCTGGCAATTATAAACAGTGCTGCGATGAACATTGGGGTGCACGTGTCTCTTTCAGATCTGGTTTCCTCGGTGTGTATGCCCAGAAGTGGGATTGCTGGGTCATATGGCAGTTCTATTTCCAGTTTTTTAAGAAATCTCCACACTGTTTTCCATAGCGGCTGTACTAGTTTGCATTCCCACCAACAGTGTAGGAGGGTTCCCTTTTCTCCACACCCTCTCCAGCATTTATTGCTTGTAGACTTTTGGATAGCAGCCATCCTGACTGGCGTGTAATGGTACCTCATTGTGGTTTTGATTTGCATTTCTCTGATAATGAGTGATGTTGAGCATCTCAGGGAAGAGCTTTTAAGGGCAACATTTGGGGTGAGAGTTGCAGGGTACATGACTTTCTTCTTGTTGGTCAGTAATGGTGAGGCAACAGGGTGGTGTTTGGGACTCTTAATCATCAACCTTCTGGTTCCAACTGTCAATTTTTTAAAAATGCACAATGTGAGAGTTGCAAGTTAAGTTTTATTTGGGGCAAAATGAGGACTGCAGCCTGGGGAGACAGCACCTCAAATAGCTCTGAGAAACTGCTCCAAAGAGCCAAGGGGGCAAGGTGAGTGTATATGTGATTTCTGGTGAAGGGGAAACACATGCAGTCAAGCACGTATTTTTCCAGAAAGTTTCTACTAGTCGAATGAAACCTTTGCTAGTTATGAGGAACAGTTGTCACCATGAAGAATTTTAGTGCTTTTTTAGATACGGGAAGATCCAAGAATTGGGCTCATAAAATCAGTTCCTGAAAATATCTGACTATCTGAAAATCTATCCTGCCAGTTTTGCCCCCAAGCACAGAGTGCCTCATTTCTGGTCTCCACCCTCAACTGCTTTCAAGGAGTATTGAAGGTCAGCAGCTCCAGCAGCATACAACTTAATCCTTGTAGTGGTAGATAGGTAGACGGCAAGTGCCAATTTTTAGTTGACACAAACTAGTCCGGGGTCTATGTGCTTGTGATCAACATGTATGCCCATCCTTCACCTGGTAAGAGGGGTCTTATTTCTTGCAGAACAATTCAAAGATTTGGGTCGGACTGTATGTATATCCCTTGAAGAGGTAATAGTACTCTGTTTTGCTGCTGAGCTATTGTTTCTTGACTGCTTTTCTTTTGTTTCTGTGTTCCCTCACTTTCCTAGTTAGTATCTGCTTGAGTCTGCTCTGTGGAATTCAGGGAAGATCTAGGAGGCTACAGCCTTTTTCTACAAATAAGAAATGGACACAAAGGAGCTTTTTTTTCCTTTAAACCCAGGAGGGCCCCACTGGGTCTTGTTTGGTTTCAATTCCCCTTTTCTTTGATTCTCCTCGTACATCATGCTAAATGCCTGGCTGGATGACTCACAAGCTGGAATCAAGATTTCTGGGAGAAATATTAATAACCACAGATATGCCACCCTATGTCACAGGGTGACACAGATGATACCACCCTAATGGCAGAAAGCAAAGATGACCTAAAGAGCCTCTTGATGAAGGCAAAAGAAAAGAGTGAAAAAGTTGGTTTAAAACTCAGCATTCAAAATACTGAGATCGTGGCATCCAGTCCCATCACTTCATGACAAATAGATCAGGAAAAAATGAAAACAGTGACAGATTTTTTTTTTCCTTGGGCTCCAAAAT